TATTACTCGTATTTACCTGCTGGATTTTTTAATCCGGTGGACAGTCCATCTAGAAAGGCTCTCCTGGATGAAGTTACAGAATCATCAACCCATACTTTACTTGTAGTGTGTCCTGCGTTTACCCACGTTTCATCAAGGTAATAAATCTTCCTGTTTTGATTTCTATATTTCCCAATTTTTGTTAAATAATCCCTCCTCCATGGCACAATTTCTTCTCTATCTCTAAACTATTACGACCCCGTTTTTTTCATTTGAAATTTAAATGCTTCAGTAACGCATGGAAAGTTGATCGTTTGAAATTTGGCAACGTTGTATCTCCATTTACCTCCTGCAGTACTTTATCTATAGTAGGTATTTCATTCCTAAAGAAGAATTCATGCACTTTCCTCCTAATCGCATGCTTATCAGCTTCATCCAATGATTTAACAATACTTTTGCGATGTTTACTGGTCATTGGCTCAGAAAAGGTGTGATTTTTTTTGTGTTGTCTTAACACATTAAACACTGATGCGCGACACACCCCACCTTTGTGATTAACCTTCACAACAATTTCTTTGATGGTTGATGCCTCGTTCTCCTCGCGCTCGATCTTATATATATTCAAAATGACCTCTTTCATTTCTGCACTCGGGTGTCTTTTTTTAGAGCGTTTCCTAGGTGGACTACAGGAGTTTACAACTTCATCGGCAGTATCTGCACTACTGGGCATTTTGCGCAAGCAGTTGATAACAATAACAATCAATAACAAGGTATAACAATAACAACGACAAACTCAACAACTTAATAAGATAACAAACGAAAACGTCCAAAGAAATATCAAATTGCAATGATGCACCACGTCTGAACCTGAATGTGACTCTGCCTTGATACGACTGCTCTGCCGCTCGGCATAGGCATTTAATTGCGAATTGACCAATGAGGGCTCCTGTTTTACGTCGAGACGGCGGCGTTAGCGTGAAAATCACCCGAACCTTTTGTTTACATCCGGTCTATCTCTTATCTGAATATACTGTAGATGCATCTTTAGATGTTAAGAAAATGCATAATCTTTTTATCGAAAAATATCCAGATCTCGAAAACTTTGTTAAATATGAATTCTATCTCAAATATTTCAATGAAAACTTCAATCTTAGATTTGGAAGACGACAGGTTGACGTATGCTCGGAGTGTGAACGATATGGTACGAGACTTAAAGACGCAAACCTTAATCAGAACGCGAAGCGAGTAACTGCTGCAGAATTAATGGTCCATAAAAGACTGGCAAAGAAATTTTATAACAAAATGAAACAAGTGCAAGCTTTGTGTTCGGAACGACCAGAAGTAGTGGGGCTTGCTTTTGATTACATGCAAAATATGCCACTACCGCATACTTTGACAGGAATGTCAAAGATATTTTTTATTTGAGACAGCTCTGGGTATTTGCATTCCAAATCCACAATCTTAAAGACAATAATGGTCATTTCTATACCTATCATGAGGGGCAAGGTCAAAAAGGGCCTAATGAAGTGTGCACGTTCCTTAACGACTACATAATGAATCATGTATAGTTTGGCAAACGGATCTGCAACAGCGAAAGGAATGCGACCGAAAATATTCGATATTGCCAAATTTAACTACAAAAAAGCAATAATAATAATAAAAGTAATTTCAATGATTTGAAAATCGATTTTTCACAATTCCAAAAAATAATAATTCAAAATACTGAGAATTTTAATGGGTTGTTAGCTCTATTTGTATTTAATAACTATTTTTTACTACTGAATCGTATTATAAGTAAACATTTTTCCAAAGATCTTATCTACATCGGTTGAGCTGGCAACAACCACCCGAAAGGTATATTGGACACCGCCTAAACGAATCTGATTGGCGGATATCCTCACATGTTTTGTCGCCATGAGAAAATTCGACTCCCTATTGGGTAGCGTCCCAGACAATTTTTTGCTCCTTTCTTAGAATATCCATACTATTGAAAAGTCCAGTGGCGTAGGTTTTATCTCCGTTGATTGTCCTGTATGAGTTTTACAACTATTATTGTTAAACTATTTATTGTTCTATTAAGTTTGTATGTTTAGTGCTGTGTGTTTTTGAATAGTTTAGTGTTTTGTTATTTGATATTGTTATTCGTTTTAGTATTATTTTTTTAAAATGAACCAATTTACTCGCGGAAAGACGCTTCATAGCCAAACAAGAGAAGTGATTGCGAATGTTTATAGGTTAGTAGTAATAATAATATGCAATAATTGTAGTTTTTGACGACTGAGTCTGAATATAAATAAAAGACAAGGAAATGCTAAGCTAACATTCTGATGATTATTTATAGGGTTTGCGTTGAGGAAGCGGCAAACAATTCCCTCAAGTTGCCGCTTAAACGTAAGCTTGATAGGGTGTCCCTTTATACCGGAGTCGGAGTATCTTCTGTTAGGAAAATTCTTAACGAAGATAAAGAAAGACTAGAAAATAACCCGAATAAAATGTTATCCAGTCCCGGAAAAAAAAGACCGCGTAAGTCTCTTGTTGAGAAAGATGAAGATTTTGATTTTCAGATTATTAGACATTTGATAAACAGATTTTATCTTGAATATAAAGTTGTCCCGACAACTAGAAAGCTATTACAAAAGTTGCGAGAAGACTCAAATTTCCCCTATTCTAGGGAAACACTCAGGAGTTTATTAAAATCAATTGTTTTTTTTTGGCGCAAATGTCAAAATAAAAGAAAAGTTTTGATGGAGAGGCCCAATATATTGCAATGGAGGTACAAATACATCCGTGAAATACGTAGATATCGTGAAAAAGGGCGCAATATAGTTTATTTGGACGAAACCTGGGTGGACAATGACTTGACTTTCAAAAAATACTGGCAGAGCGAAACTGTTTCTGGTGTAATAAGCAGTATAGGTTCTACAGGTAAGCAAAAATGCTATATATATGTTAAATTTAACTCTGATTTGTAACATATTATATAATCGTCTTGTATATTTTAGGTCGACTCATTATAGTGCATGCAGGTTCAGAAAATGGATTTGTTGACAATGCCTGTTTGACATTTAAGGCGGGATTAGCTACAGGCGATTACCACGGTCAGATGAATCGGGAAAATTTCACACGCTGGCTCACAGAAAAACTCCTCCCGAATATACCTGCCAATTCGGTTATAGTATTTGACAATGCTCCATATCATTCCGTCCAGGAAGATAAAACCCCGACAAAATCATCTTCGAAAAAAGATATAATGGCCTGGTTGACAAAGAAAGGTACTTATGACTCAAAACATGCATGTACATATCAAACTATACAATAAAATATTTTATAGGCATAAATCATGAGGCAACTGCCAGAAAATTTGACTTGTTCGATCTGGTCTTACTTCATAAGCCCCCTGACAACCAAAAAAATTATGTAGTTGATCGGATCATAAGATCACATGGACATACTCCTCTAAGAACACCTCCTTATTTATGCGAGCTAAACCCAATAGAATTAGCTTGGGCAAAGCTTAAATTTCATATAAGAAGCCGCAATACCACTGGAAACTTCAGTTTAACCGCACTGAAAGAAGTTACTCAGGAAGCGATGTCCTTAATATCCATTAATGATTGGCAGAAATTTTATCAACATGCTAGGGACATTGAAGATAAATTTTGGGAAAATGATCAATTTATGGAGGAAATGGAACCAGTTATAATAACAATAGGGCAAGATGACGACAGCGAAACTGATGACGACAGTGACGATGATGATAATGATGAAGTTGACGAACACCAATGCTAATTCAATAGGTGAAATGTAATTTTGAAATGCTGTATAATGTAAGTATTATTTATTACAGAGGTTATAAGTTAAACGGATATGAAATGTGTTTAAAGTTCTTTGTTTCTATTTAAGCGACACCGATGCTCTAGAAATATCCACATCAACAGTCCAAAATTGCAACAATAGGAATCCAGAAAGATGCGGATTATAAAATAAAAATTAATTCTGGTCATGTTTCGGCTTGTGGCACTTTTTAAAGTAAATGAGCATATTATAAGATCACGGATGTATAATATATATATATATATATATATATATATATATATATATATATTCTCAAGGTAAAAAACCACGTTAAGTATCTATTTGTATTTGAAAAATATATATAATATATTTTATTTACGGCTTTGCGCTAGCTTGATTTAGGTTTTAAATCGCGCAGTTATCATGATTTTTTTAATTGTGGCAATTTTGGGAAGTGAGTAGACATTTTTCCGTTTGTTGAAGTGTAGAAACAAACTCAAGTGTTTTTTACATGGTGTAGATTGTAGAGAACAGCTATTTTTGAGTTTACCCGAGACTTTATTTATTATTATGGACAATGCTCCATATCATTGTGGGCTTAGTGAGATACTCCCCAAATTTAAACTGAAACATAAACGTATAGTTGACTAAATTTAAACCAATTATGAAATAATCCCAAACTTTTATAAAATACCGCACGCCGCTGGCATTTTATGAATGAAACCAGCCATGTTTTGCTTTCCCCTCACCGATACCCCGATGTTGCAGATCCGTTTGCCAAACTTTACCTTCCAATATTACTGAGCTTCACTTGTTTTCTGATGGATGTGCAGGGCAGAACCGAAACTAAACTATGGTCCGTTTTCTCCTAGCAACTAAGAGATTCACTAAAATATACTCGTATCATTACTTCCCGATAAGAGGACATTCGTTCTTACCCTGCGACCGGGATTTTGGCTGCGCAAAACGGAATTTCAGAAAACATGATAGAATCTATACTCCAGAAGAATATGAAGACTTGATAGTAACTTCCAGAAAGAAGCAACCATTCACTGTAAAACAAATAAGACACACTGATATTATTGATTTTAAAAATGGTGGCCTGACTACTATAAAAAAACGTGTAGTACTTCAACACGAGGTGCTGCTTCCAAGAAAGAAACTTTTGCTGTTTCCAACTACAGACAGTTTCTATATGAAAGTTCAAATCCTGGATATGTTACAACATGGGAATTTATAGATGGTTTACACCCCCACACCTGAAAGAACACAAACAAAGTCCACCTCTGCCCAATGATAGGGCATATAAAGAACCTATCCCCATCAACGAAAAGAAGATCTTGGACATCAAAAAAGTCATGTGTCATACTCATGGTGAAATTTTACCATTACCATATGACATCATGGAAAACAACAAATATGGAAAACGATGATTAAATGGTCGACCTAACAGTTTTGATATTGAATTTTTGTTCTTACGTAAACTAATGATAAATAAATTGGATAAATGCTCATGTGCTTCTTTTGATTTGCAGAATGACTTTATAAACCGTACAAGTCCATGAGATGTTTCTATCTGGTATTGCTAAACCATTTTATATTCGGAAAAACTATTATTATATACACATGGTAAACCTTTAGATCTAAAACTTTTGTATACATTTCAAATTTCTATATCAAGTAGTTTTCGAGTTGGAATGTTTTTATCGATTATCTCAAAACGATGATTTTGGACTTGTACGGTTTTCGAACTGACCGATTCATTTACACTGCGTTCCGTCGTAATTTGAATCTGCCTTTGCGGAGTTATCAAACCTTATTTTACTTTAAAGTCGCTTTTCTCTAAAAAAATGCCGTTTTTACCCCTATGTTGTATGAAACTTTTTGCTTCTTTTAACCTCATCTATCACCCATTTAAATAATCATAACGTTTATACTCTGTAGAAGAAATACCAAAATAATTTGTTCTGGCAATTTTAGTGTATTCTAGGTAATTGATAAGTTGCCTCTTTGGCAGGTAATTTCTTGGGCAAAATTAGTTATTCAACACCCGTTTGTGCCTCCATGAGGTCTGCCACCGTATTCAGGCAGTATTTACAATGCTTAGAGCAGATTAGGAAAGTCCTACGTTTCACCGTACTTATGTTATCATACCTCTCTCTATCCAATCATTTGAAGAATATAAATACTCAAGAGACTCGACTAAATCCATCATTTGTCTGTTCGACACGACTGCATCACAACGACCTTTCAACAATGTGTGAAGAGATGAAACCATTGACCGCAAAACAAGTTGTCAAAATGGACATACCAAGACACCTCAAAAGGTTGGTCATTGCAGAATTAAGAATGTCGGAAAAATTGAAGCAGACTGAGGACAAATATTGGAAGAAATCCCTGGACGTTGCCGTGGAAGAAGTGAGATCTTCTGTGGCGGAGGAACTGGCGGATCTAGTGGAAGGTACGACTTCGTCAGGAAAGCTACAAAATAGAATTGCTCGCTTGATTCGCGTGAGCTCCAAATACAAGATGCTGTATAGAACCGAGATGAAAGCAAGTGCTGTGCTGATGTACAGTGGAATGAAAGAAGCACTCAAAATACTATTACCTTATTTTAAAGCCAAGACATTGTACTTAGTATGCGGAGGCAATAAGCACCGATTCTGACACAGAACTTCATTTGCTTATAATCGTACTTTGTATTTGTAGTTTATTTTGTTGTATTTTCTATTTATTTAACCGATAACGGATTTATCTAATAACAGCTGTAAGTTTTTGAATGTGTAAATATTGTAAACTCTATTTATATTAATATACCCTCACCATTTAATGTGCAATTTCTTTTGAATTCCCCCCACAAAGTCCGGAAAAAATAAAGTCGATTCTGGGAAAAAGCTGTGCGTTAGATCTTTTGATTTCGTGAAAAGGGTGGATAGATACGTCGCTTGGAAGCTGACATGAATATTAGGAAACTTATATACAGAAATATTATAGTATACATGGTATCCCAAAATAGCGAATCTTTCCGATTCATAAAGAGCACAAAAGTATGAGACCGTTTTTAATAAAATTACTTATTGAAGGATGATCCTGAACATGCAGATAGGTCACGTCATGGCCTACTAGATGATAAAGTTTTCTTTTAATAAAAGTGGAATAGTTTTAGAAATGATCAGCATTCGTTTTTTTTTTTAAACTGGCTTATATTCGGTTAATTCCGTGCCATTTCTACAAATATTAACTTCTTTTTTCAACCAGGTTTCCTTTTATCTGGTCCACTAATATTTTTATTATTAAAACCGCTTCTTACGTCTGACTTTGATACCCTGTAGAATGAGCGTGCAAGTTAGTCGAAAAAATTGACAATTATTCGCAACTTTTTTTATCATTGTTATTTGCCCTCTGCTGTTTTTTTTTTCGTTTTATTGCAGGAGGGTTACTTTTCGTAGATATCAGAAATTAACAATTTATTGCTTGGATAGCAAAAATTGGCCGCATTTATGTTAAATGATAATTTTCATTTAGGGTGGATTTCACAATTTAACAAAGCATTATTCTGCACCAATAGGGTACGAGTACCAAACAGTCCGTTAAATTTACCCAATCAGCCTCAAGATTTCAGTCAAATTTTTGGCAGCAAATAGCATCAAAGTATTCAAAACAAAACACTGTAAAATATGAAGTGACAGCTTGCCGTTGAAATCTTTTCAGCTTATTAAATATTATGAAATTATGTAAAACTGATCCAAAATTTTTGAAAATGTTTGATGTCTGAGTAAAATCTATTTTTTCAGATTAGCTGAAGGTTTTTCCATGTTTACTGCAACTTTTGTAATCCATATGTGATTATATCACCTACTGTGTGCTTATAGTTTATCCTATATTTGCAAACTTGCACTTCCAAACCCTTACATGAAAAAGCGTTTTCACTCAAATTTTTGTTAGGTGTTGCATTTCAACACATTCATACACTTCTTTCCAGTTCCTCAACGATATTTTAACCCCACTGGTCCGAAACTGTTCAACAGTTTCAACATTCATACATACAATTGCAGTTGCAGTTTTTTGTTTTAATTTCAGTGTATAATCAGTCGTACCATCGGTGATGGTACATTCAACATAACCACGTATTTAGGGGTTCGTGCAGATTTAACGTGTACACGACAGTGTAATATGTATTTCTTCACAAAAAAATCTTGGAGGGATAGAATACAGTGACGTTGGAGAAGGAGAATAGACCAAAGGAGATCGGAATTGACATGTGAAATTAGTGTCTCATAATTTTAGTGATGGGAGAATACATTTGCGATCAGTGGAATGTAATGGAACGGTTAAAAAATATGAATTGAATCGTTTTTACGTTATCTCGACTGAAAGACTGGAATATCTGCTCAGTTTCTGTATATATATTTTTTGTGGTATTGTTGCATAAAGTAGTTGGTTCACGAACTTAATGAAACGAACTGGAAAGCACATCACTTTTTCAAGTAATCCAAGAAGGGACAAATTGTCATTTCATCACACTAGTGATGGGAGAATCGAAAGCCTGAGATTCGCTTTGCTTCTGTGGCCAAAAAAAAAATCGGTTATTAACTACCCAAACATACCATCTGCGATGAGACCTGTGTCTCACAGTGACGAAAATCCTATTCCAAAACCCTCAGAATCCTACACTTGCGAATCAGAAAACGAATCAGATCATGGCGATCGAGTGATTCGTCAGGAAGAAGATATGCCATCAACGTCAAGAGATCCTGATTTTATACCGAGCACGTCATGCCACCAACCGCACAAAAATAACACAGTCAGAATTAAATGATCTTGTAAGAGATTTAGAACTTCCAAAATGTAAAAGTTACTTGGATTAAGACTGCAGCAATGGAACTTGTTAGAAGACGATGTTTCGGTATGTGTTTTTCGTAAACGCCACAAAGACTTAGAACCATTTTTCAATATGGAGAATAACTTGGTTTTCTGCAGTAACATTAACGGCTTACTGGCGGCTTTAAATATAAACTATAGCCCAGAAGAATGGAGATTGTTTATAGAGAGTTCAACATTGAGTTTAAAGGCAGTGTTATTGCATATTGGAAATATTTTACCATCTCTTCCTGTAGGGTATGCAGTTCACATGAAAGAATCATATGACAATATGAAGTACCTATTGACATGCATAAAATACGATAAGCACCAATGGCATATTTGTGGCGATTTGAAAGTTGTTGCACTTTTACTTGGGCTGCAGCTAGGCTACACAAAGTTTTGCTGTTTTTTGTGTGAATGGGACAGTCGGGCAAAGGCACTTCATTACACCAGACAAAACTGGCCTGTTCGTCAATTCCTAGAGCCAGGTCAAAAAAATGTACAGGATATGCCATTAGTAGATTCGAAAAAAATTTTATTACCACCACTGCATATCAAGTTGGGCCTAATGAAAAACTTTGTCAAGGCATTAAATAGAGATGGGTCAGCTTTTCAATACCTGCGTCAGAAATTTCCAAGACTAAGTGAGGCAAAGGTTAAAGAAGGTATTTTTGTTGGGCCACAGATTCGAAATATTTTGAAAGATACACAGTTTGAAAACACTTTAACAGGTATTGAAAAAACTGCTTGGAATGATTTCCGTCTGGTGGTCACTAATTTCTTGAGAAATAGAAAAGCTTACAACTATAAAACCCTTGTCAAAAATATGCTGTCATCGTATCAAAAGATGGGCTGTAATATGTCTCTTAAGATACATTTCCTACACTCACACCTGGACTTTTTTCCTGACAATTGCGGAGCCGTAAGTGATGAGCACGGCGAGCGTTTTCATCAGGATATTTCCACAATGGAAAAAAGGTACCAGGGAAAGTGGAATCCTTCCATGCTTGCAGACTACTGTTGGACTCTTGGTAGAGATGCTCCAGAAACGATCCATAAAAGAACAGCAAAAAGACAGCGCATATAGTGATTCTTATAAGTATATGAATCTTATTACTTTTTTTCATATATCCTTAAAAATAAAAAGCTTTTTTTCTAAACCGCAACTAATTTTTTTATTTCATTGTCATTTTTGGATTCAGCGCCCCAAAATTAACAAAGAAGTGCACTTTTCCCACAAGATACAATTAAAAAACTAAAATTTGTTGTCCAGTTGCCTTTTTGGCAGGTAATTTCTTGGGCAAAATTAGTTATTCAACACCCATTTGTGCCTCCTTGAGGTCTGCCACCGTTTTCAGGCAGTATTTACAATGCTTAGAGCAGATTAGGAAAGTCCTGGATTAGGATAGGTTTCACCGGACTCATGTTATCATACCTCTCTCTATCTAATTATTTGAAGAATATAAATACTCAAGAGACTCGACTAAATCCATCATTTGTCTGTTGTACCCGACTGCATCACAACGATCTTTCAACAATGTGTGAAGAGATGAAACCATTGACCGCAAAA